TTTTACCTCTTTACCTATTTTTATCTTTATATTGAAGGTAGTTTTTTTTGCAGGCAGTATATAGTTGAGTCTTCATTTTTTAATCCAATCTGATAATGTATGACTTATAGTTTGTGTGTTTATACCGTTTATATTTCATGTCAGTATTGATGTAGTTAAAAATCTATCGTGTTTTCTTGTTTTTGTCCTCTTTCTGCTTTCATTTAAATTAATTGGGTATTTTTATGATTCTATTTTGTCTTTTTTTGACTTATTAATTATAAATTTTATTTTAGTGGTTACTTTAGGGTTTATACACCTTTAACTTATTCTAATCTATCTTCAAACAGTATTACTGCACTTCACGTATAGTTTCAGACCCTTTTGATAGTATATTTCTATTTCTCCTCTTCTGATCCTGGTGCTATTTTTATCACACATTTTGCATCTACTACCTTATTAATGCCATACTATGTTGTTTTTTGTTTAGACAGCTGATTGTCCTTAAATAAATTTAAATAATAAGAAAAAACTTTTCTGTTTGCCTGCATGTTTGACATTTTCAGTGTCCATTGTTTTGTGTAGATCTAGAGTGTTATCTGGTATCATTTTCCATCTGCCTGATAGACTTCCTTTAACATTTCTTATAGTGCTATAAAGAAAAATATAGACATAAATGACTACATAAATATTAAAAACCTTTTAGTGAAGGGTACCATAAACAAATTTTTTTTTAAAGTCTGGGAAGAAACATTTACAATATAACAGGGTAATAATAACAGCAGTATATAATAATAATAATAATAATAGTAATAGTAACAGCAGTTATTAAATGTGTACTGTGCTATACCAGGCACTATACTGAACACTTTACAATGTATTTTCTTATTCAACCCTTACAACACCATTTGAAGGTAATGACTATTATGACTCCCATCTTACAAATAAGGATATGAGATTAACAGATAATTGACTAAAGTCTGTAACAATAAGAGACCAAAAACTCAATGAGAACATAATTTTAACTGGCAATTCTTAGGAAAAATGTGAATTACTTACAAACATAAATGTCATACTGAACTGCTGTCATCATCAGAAGAATAGGGTCATTTTTAAGCTCGTCAGCTGTCAAGAGTAAGAAGCAATGTTACTAATACTGGCAAGATATGAAAAGACACTCATACATTATTGGAAACATAAATTGGTATACCTTTTCAGAGGGCCATTTAGCTTTAACCGTTGACATTTAAAATATGCATATCTTTTGACCAGATTACTGTCATCTGGAATTTCTTGTACAATTTCCCAAAGAAAAACATTTTCTTCCTTTCTTTCTTTCTTTCTTTCTTTCTTTCTTTTTCTTTCTTTCTTTCTTTATTTCTCCCTCTCTCTCTCTCCCTTCCTCTCTCTCTCTCTGTGTGTGTGTGTGTGTGTGTGTGTGTGTGTAATAGAGAACAGTTGGCCATAACCTGACCATCAATAACAATAAAATGAATGATGGCTTAGCCATATAATGGAATAACCACTAGAAAAATATGATACTGGAGAAACAGCCAATTTGATAGGCTACTAATGGAGACTTAAATTGGTACACTTTCTTGTAGGGGGAGTTTTCAATATAGGAATCAAAAGTCTTCAGTCAAGCTATGTCCCATCCCCCCTTGCATATGCTATATAATGTAGTAGAAAGAAAAATATTATAGAAAAATATATGTGTCAGAACCCAATTGGGTTTTTTTTTAAGGATATATGTATTTACATATTTATATGTGCCTAGAAGAAGGCTTAGAAAGATGCATGCCAAATTATTAACATTGATTATTCCTGGAAAGGAAGGATTTTGACTTTTTAAATCTCCCTGTTGAATTTTATGATAGCTTTTGTGATCATTTTGAGTTTTAAAAATTTTAAGATATATTAGTTGTAATTGCCAAGAACACATAGAGAAATTGACTAAAAAGAAGCAAGACTCTTTGTCCCCAAGGGTTTCTAAACCAAATGGATCAAGGTTCTTCTCCCCTAGGCTTAAATCAAATTTTATTTTTAAAGACAAGTTGTTGGATTCTACTTGTAGAGCTTAGCAGAATTTTAAAGAACTGAACTGTTACAACCCTCCTGTTTCATAATACAGGACCACAGTAGCTAGTAAGCTCTAAGATATTTCAACTGATATAAAAAATTAAGAATGACATTTTATTCATTCATCCATCCATCCATTTATTCATTCATTCAGTCAGTCAGTTCAAGTAGTGAATAGTGTATGTTAACATCCAATAAAGTAAAATAGGTACCTCTGCAGCAGCTCATTAACAACTGGTAACAGATGTCAGTGTTCCAGAGCTTTAAAAAAAAGTGCTGATACAGTTGAAGACCCCTCCACTACAGATAAGATGGAGCACTGTATGCATATTACCAATGACAGTCACCCAATAAATGCAAACAGGCACATCACTCTCCTTCATGGGGTAGATCCTTCATACTTGTCATGAAGATCAGCTGCATTGTCACTGAAAACTTGGATCCAGCCATCCTCCTGCACATGGTAAAGGTTAGCAGCACCTCCTGAGAAGGCATCTATGCAGGTGGCTTGGTAGCACACTTCGTGAGCCAGATCATAGGCCTGCTCCTTTTCTAGGTAATAGGAATAGCCCTGATTCATGACCCCATAAGCATACACAGAGCCAGAACCTACAGAGAAGGTGGCCCCTGAGATCTGATTCCCTTCAGTGTCCATGTAGCAGAGTTCAGAGCCTCTCTTATCCTAGCCACAGATCATGGTGCCCATGGACAGCCCCATGCCTTTGTACTGATGCAACATGTTGGCAAGCAGCTTGGAGGCAGCTGCTACAGAGATGCATTCCTTATTTGAAAGCTCATACATTTGACATTGCTGAGCAACAGCCATTCTCAGAAGCTAAAATCTACTTTGTCCCTAGCCATGATGGCTTCAGGTAGAGGTTGATCTCTGTCACCTTCTTAACCATCTAGAGGCAATGTAAGCACTCACTTTAGCCCTATAGTTGGCTGCAACTATGACTCCATGGCAGAACTTAAAGGCCAGGGTGTTGGTTCCATGAAGCATTTTGATTATCTGCTCTTCTGAGACTCCCAGCTGGGCATGGCCAGGCTCAGCCCATCACTGGGACTCCCTGGACCCAAATCCAGCAGATCCGCATTAACTATAAGTCCAGAAAACCTACACTGGTTTATGAGTAGCAGCCTCTCCAACAAGCTGGCCAGCACCATGTTTAGTGTGGGCAAAAGAAGGGATAACATTTTAAATTGCATGACAGCAAAAGAGTTTTTCTTGTAGGTTGTTGTATATTTGAAATTGTGACTAGACTTACAATAATGAAATATGTGCAGTAGTTTTGCAAAGGGAAATAGGGATACATGCTCACTCAAATGTTGACCAAAGGATGCATTGATTATAGAATATTGTAGAAAGTCTGCTTTTATCACATGTTCTCATGTTTTAATACAATCTTCTAATAACAAAGCATGCTGCCTCTCTGTAAAATACCTAGAAAAATTCTTTAACTAAAAGGGTGAGATGGGAAAGTTATGTGGAAAACTTTTTATAAATTAGAATTTTAAAATTCATTGTTAGGAGACAACGAAGAAATCATTTATTCTTTCTAGTGGACGAATACTCTTCTATAATAGGTCTTGAACGAAGTCACCTGAGAGTTTTCCAAGTAAATATTATGATCTGAGAGATTTTTTTCATTTGTTAAAGAATTGTTCTGGTAAACTATTTGTTTTGAACTTTTTATCTGGAAAAATAGTTTGAAGCCAAATATTTACTAGACATCATGCAAATTGAATATTTGGTACATTGGTTTCCATTCTGTGTGAAGCACTTAGAAATTTTCCTTTCTTATAATCAAACTCACCCAGATCCACAGTAATATTTTTGTATGAACAAAAGAAATTTCTATTTACAGATTTATTTAAAATAATTACTAGAGGGCAGGCATGGTGCCTCGACCTATAATCCCAGCACTTTGAGAAGCCAAGACAGGAAGATCACTTGAGCTCAGGAGTTTGAGACTAGCCTGGGCAACACAGCAAAACCCTGTCTCTACAAAAAATACAAAAATTAACTGGGCATAATGGCACGCACCTGTAGTCCCAGCTACTCAGGAGGCTTAAGGCGGCAGGATCACTTGAGCACAGGAAGCAGAGGTTGCAGTGAGCCAAGATGGACCACTGCACTCCAGCCTAGGTGACAGAGTGAGACTGTCTCAAGAAAAATAAATGAAAAATAATTATTATTAGAGAAAAATTGAACAGTAATAAAATTTAAGCCCTATCATCTATTATTTTCTATATGCATAGAGAAAAGTGAAAGAATATACTTATTTTGGGGAAAATGCCTATAAATTAGAACTATTACATAAATCACACTTTACAAAGTTATTTCTATATCTAAGGAAAATGTTTTTACATGGCATTGTATTGCACTCCATAGTAAATATGAAGATAATATAAACACTATGAGTACTAACTGGATGCGGGGAGTTGTTCTAAGTAACTTTCCATGCATTGTTTCATTTCATCTTAACAAGCTATGCTGTAAGTACTCTTATTACACAGCTTACAAATGAGGATCTGAATCCTAGAAGTTATTCTGTTGTTACAGATTCATTGCTTTGAGTTTATGAGACTTAACAGTTAAAATGCAGATATGCATTGAAAAGTAATACACATCTAAACAAATAATGACAGTGTCCAGGAACTCAGGTTCAATGACTATAGAGTAGTAAATGAGGAAGAAGGGATGGATTTGGAAACTCCATAGGAAAGAAGAGAAGCCAGCAACCAGCTAGCCTACAAAATCGGAGGATTTTGCCAAAGGTTGCAAAGGGATAGCCAACAATTTTTTAATGACAGTACTATAAACAATAAAATGTGGAGATTTTTTCATATAATTTCACTGTGTACCATTTACTACCTCCTTTGAATCTGGGAAATATTGTAGAGCCGATGCCACAGAGCATTGATATTTATATTAACGAAATGCCTTTCCTTTGGCACACAGCAACCAGCAGGCCTTTTTACTGGAGAACGTCCCTTGTAATAATGCAAGCTGTGAAGAGGCGCATCGAATGTTTAAAGTCTACTGGGAGCTGACAGACCTAAATCAAATCAGGGATGCCATGGTTGCCACCTTCTTTGACATTTACGAAGATGTGAGTTCAGAGCTGTGCTGTGTGTTTGAAGTTTAATTGCCGTTCACCTTGTTACACTTTAACTTCATTCCATTTGACCAGAAAATGTGGACAGCATAACAAAAGCAAATGAGTTAATTAAGGAAAGCCCCTTTTAATGTTAAATGGCAGATGGAACAAATCTATTGACAACATTAGCTGATCAGTACACTCAAATGTGAAAACTCTCTTATATCATTTTGTGCATATTTGGATTAAACCACTAAAGCGTGCTCTAAGACTGGCAAATCTGAATGTTCGGCAGTAGACAAAATTACAGCCAACAGGCAACAGACCCTTGAATCTGCACAAGATCACAGAAGAATGAGTTTAGTGCTCACTTTTATCTTTGTGAACCAGAGTAGCATCTATTTCCACAGATTCTTGTGACTGTGACTTTGGTTGCCAGGTTACCTTGTGAAAGGCTTTCAAGTTTTCCCCTTTCTTTCTTTTCTTTTATTTATTTTTGTTTTGTTTTGTTTGTTTGTTTGTTTGTTTGTTTTTTGAGACAGAGACTTCTTCTGTTGCCAGGCTGGAGTGCAGTGGTGTGATCTCGGCTCACTGCAACCTCCGCCTCCCGGGTTCAGGCGATGCTCCTGCTTCAGCCTCCTAAGTAGCTGGGACTACAGGCGCCCACCACCACGCCCAGCTAATTTTTTATATTTTTAGTAGAGATGAGGTTTCACCATGTTAGCCCGGATGGTCGCCATCTCCTGACCTCATGATCTGCCTGCCTCAGCCTCCCAAAGTGCTGGGATTACAGGCGTGAGCCACCACTCCTGGCCCAGTTTTCCCCTTCCTAAAGTGAAATTCCAGTTTACCACTCTGAAAAATAATAAATTCTGAAAAAAGCAGTGTTAAATTCCAGAATTGATGTATCACAGTATACCCTTGTAAGATAATTTATTTTTAAAAGTTCAATGCCCAATAGGACATTTATGTCTCCATTTACCCCATTTTGGATTTTATTTTGTTTTGTTTTTTATAAGAGGCTTATTCTCAATTATATGAATTATTCAGGTCCTTGTTTTCCCCTGTTTCTCCTGCAATCAAGTCTTGCATTATTTTACTTTTCATTAGCAGATTCCAAGCATAAAAGTAATTGGCAGAAATATCACAAGGGGACAAAGCAAGAAAATTGACTACAAATCCATTTTTAATTTCTGTACATCAAAACCATAATGAAATTTAAAATTGTTCAAAATCTGGGAGATAAATTTTCTATGAAAGAGTTAAATAGTTAATATTCATAATATAAAAGGGCTCGTACAAACTGATATCACCAAAAACACTCTGGAAAAATAGAACATAGTTTACTACAAAAACCCAAGTTGCTGACATATTTAGAAATATGATAAATGATCAACTTCATGAAAAGAATCAGAGGAATATGAATTTAAATGAGCATGTTTTTTTTCCTTCCACAAAATTAGCAAAGCTTCCTCCTTTATGAAAGCAAATGGTAAAATGCTGCGGTGGCAAGGGCAGATGAAAAGGTACTCCCCTGATGGTTGGAAAGGGTCTGGCAAGTCTACATCAGGGGCCTTTGAAACTTCATGAAAATTTGACTGGAAGGAAACACCAAAATGCTAATAATTATCTCCAGAGACTAAATACAGATGTTTTTCATCTTATTTATATTTTACTATTGAAACTTGTGCGTATATACCAAATATTTTAATAGTGATTTTATTTTAAACATGAGGATGAATAAATAAGGCTACATTTACTTTATAAACAATAGGCCATGCATTTTAACGGTCTTTTTTTTTTTTTTTTTTTTTTTTGGGCTTTTGTTTTTTTTTTTTTTTTTTTTTTTTTTTTTTTTTTTTTTTTTTTTTTTTTGTTTTTTTTTTTTTTTTTTTTTAGTTGGGCTAATAGTTTGTTCTTACCATTTTACTTTGTTTTTTTCCAGGGAATCTTGGACATTGTAATCCTAAGTAAAGGATTTACAAAAAATGATTTTGCCATCCATACACTAAAAAATAACTTTGAAGCAGATGCTTATTTTGTTAAAGTCATTGGTGAGTAAAGTATTAACATTTAATTTTGTTCTCTCTCTCTCCCCATCACTCCGCATATTCCAAAGAGCGAGGACATGCTCCAACGTACAACCCTCTAGATCAGTTCAACATCAGTACAGCACATCCTGTCTATATCCATAGACCCTATTCAGATTTTGCCAGCTGTCCCAGTAATAATCTTTTTTCTTTCTTGCCCAGGATTCTGTCCAGAAATATCTATTGCATTTAATTGTCCCATCTTTTCAGAGTCCTTCAATCTGGACCAGTCTTTTCCTATTTTTCATGTCCTTATCAGTTTTAAAGAATCCAGGCTTTGCATTCTTTGAGATAGCACTGTTTCCTCATTACCCAACTTAGGTAATGAATTCTTTGCAGAAATTCCACTGCAAAGAATTGTAGAACTGATGCTGTGCATTTCTTAGTGTATCATATCAGGAAGCACATGATGATAACCAGTCCTACCACCATGACATTAACCTTGCTCACCTGGTCACGTTGATGATCACCAAGTTTCTCTACTCTAAACTCAGTTTTTCCCTTTGTAATTCATTAGTGTTTTGGGGGGCAATATTCTGATATTGCATTGATAGCCTTTTCTTTATGAGACCTTTGCCTAGCACCCTTAGAGTACATTGACAACTGCCTGAATCAACCTTCTGCATTTGTCAGATAGTGATTCTCTGTTTCCATCAATTGACATTCTGTTTTTCATCTTGTATCTCCCTTGCCCCAAGCCTGCAATCAGACATTTCTCCAAGGAGTCTTGGTTCCTTTTAGTAGAGAACAGTATTTCAAAACCACATTCTGAAATGGTTGCCCAGTGTGCTAGTTGCTACTGGGTTGTCATTTCTTCCAGATTCTCTCAATGGACACAGCTAGGAGAGAGAATACAGGTATGGATTCACATATGCACACACAAATGTACACATTTGTAACTATATTTACATCTATTTATATTTGCATATACTAACTATAAAACCATGAATTCATCACTATAATTTCATTTTCAATCCAAATGGAGCACTTCAGAGTTCCTTCTAATCTTGTGTCTTTTTGTAGATAGCTCTCCCAGCAGTGAGAAATGTGACTTCTGTTTTTCTCATTGTGTTACTTGTTTGTTCACTGCAACCAATGCCAGCAGTGTCCTCCACCTGACACCTGTGTTCGTCATAAAGACCCTGTACACATTTTGTTGAGTGCATGCTTAAGTATTTTATTTTCTTTAAGATGGCTATAGAGAATATTGTGTTTTTAAGTTTTGCTTCCACACATTTTAGTATATGGAAATGAAATTTATTTTTGTGTGTTGATCCTGTGTATACAGTGACCTTGCTGATTCTAGAAGGATTTTTTATAGATTCCTTGGGATTTTCTGCATAGACAACTTTGTCATCTGCAAAGAGAGATCATTTTCTTTCTAATCCATATGCCTTTATTTTTCTTGTGCTGGCTAGAATTTTTATCAACTATGTTGAATAAGTGGTGAGCGTGGACATACTTGTCTTGTTTCCAGTCTTAAGGGGATAACATTTTGTCTTTCATACTTAAATGTTATATTAACTATAGAGTTTTTTTGGTAGATGCTCTGTATATACTAAAGAGGCTCTCCCTATTCCTAGTTTACTGAGGGTTCTGTCATGAACTGGTGTTTGAAAAGTGACTGTTTTTGCATTACTATTGTAATAGCCAACACCAGGAGAGCCATACTGATTTGTTTGTCAACAAAATGACACATGTACTTCGTAGAAATATTTATTATGGTTTCGAAATAGGCATAAATAGCTGAATACAGAAAAGCAACAGAATAACAGATTAGTGTTGAGATTTATTTTGAGAGATGAAACTGATATAACATTCATTCTTCCTTTCTAAACAGCAAATTCAGTCTTATTTGAGTTAAGAGTTCCACCCATCTTCCTTATTACTGCAGCCACAAAATACTGATACATGAATCTAATCATTTCTGTACTTTTTTATTATCCATGTCCTGTCTTTTGCCATTTTCAAGAAAGTACTATTTGGATATGTTGAAGCTAAAAATTTTTAAATATACGGTTTATTTGGTATGCTATTAATTTTGTAGTTTGACGTATATTTTCTTATCTCTGTCCTTCTTCAACTGGACACCTCTAGATAACAAGGCAAGAATTCTTAAAACTTTTGCTGACCCTAATTGTGTATGTAATTAGAATTACCAAGCTCAGTTAATTGGAACAAAGAGATGTTAGAGTAAGAGTTTGGGATTTGATTCCTTAGGGATAAATTACTAAATCCAGTATAGCCATTTGACGGCTACAGATTTTGGTTCCCAGGTGAATTAAACAGAAGTCACATATTTACAGGATGAAAATATCTAAAAAAGAAAATCAGTCCTCCAGCACTTTGGGAGGCTGAGGCAGGTGGATCACTTGAAGTCAGGAGTTATAGCCCAGCCAACATGGTGAAATCCCTGTCTCTACAAAAATACAAAATTTAGTTGGGTGTGGTGGCATGTAACTGTAGTCCTAGTAAATCTGGAGGCTGAGGCTAGAGGCTGGGAGGCAGAGGTTGCAGTAAACCAAGATCATGCCACTACACTCCAGCCTGAGCTATAGAGCAAGGCTCTGTCTAAAAAAAAAAAAACACAGAAACAAAAAAAAAGAATTAAAATCAAATCCATTATTTTACCTTTGATCAAGAGCATCATCCTTCTTGGTAAAGACCAGCACACTTTTAGTCTTCATTTATTTAAATATCACATTTAATCTCGCCTTCCTCCGTCCATTTCAGAATACTTGGCAAGCACTCTGAAATCTAGGCTTATTTACTTGTCTCCTTGGCATTGGCATCTCTCTTACTCCTAGTATACTATAATGATCCAAGCAATTTAAGAGTAGCATCTGTCTTATTTGTCTTTGATTGTCAGGTGCCTAACACAGGGCCTGGTACATAGGAGGCGTTCAGGAAATTTATGTGAAATAAATGGCCAGCTATCTTTTGAGGCCTGGATTGGCTATCTTGAATCACAACGTTCCCCTCTTCTCTAGTACCTAAGCAACAGTTGATGCCTCCGACCCATCTGTGTCTCTAGGAAGCATTCTACCAAAATAGGTGAAACGCCAATTCAAAGTCAGATTTCTACCTTGACCTGTTTGCTGATATTAGGGACACAACTAGTCAATTGTTCATTTCTTGAAAAGATTGAAATGCCCTTTCCTAGCTTAGCTTCTCAAGTCTACCCATCTTTTGCGGATTCTCTGTGACTGGAAACTCTAATTTACATAATTTCTCATGCTTACACCAAAAATGCAGAGAAAAATTAACACATGATGAGCAACAGTGTGTTTTTCCTCTCATTATTTTAATGGAATCCTATAAAACTCACCATTTTGCTTCAACCTAGAATAAGTGTGATTTGCTTCAAAAATATACATTAAATTTAAATTAATAATTCTCTTTCAAAATATTGTTTTCTTTCTGTTTAATGAGATAACTGTAGGCTTTTTCCTTCTTTCATTTGAATTTTGCCAGTATACTTCAGTAAACTTTTTTGACATACAGTCTCATTGTGTTGCCCAGGTTGTAGTGCAGTGGAGCGATCTCAGCTCACTGCACCCTCTGCCTACCAGGTTCAAGCAGTTCTCATGCCTCAGCTTCCCGAGTGGCTGGGATAACAGGCACATGCCGCCATACCTGGCTAATTTTTTGTATTTTTAGTAGAGACAAAGTTTTGCCATGTTGGCCAAGCTGGAGCCAGTGTACATTTAAGGAACGATTTTCTCAAGTCTGAAG